TGAAATGAAACTAGTATGAACAAAGATAATAGTTTAAGGAGCAGAAATACAAAATAAAAAGCCCAAATCCCATAAAATATAACCCACTATGTTTATCACTGGGATTTCCCCAAGCCTGGAATACATTTCCTTCTTACTTGTTTCATAGAATCGCTTGCTCTCTTCCTTCAAAATGCTCAAGATGCACCTTCTATGCCTTTCCAATTTCCCCCTAACTGCTAATGCCCTCTCTCCCAAATTATCTTATATTTATATGCTTTGCATTTATTTTGTATAAACTTATATAACCTGTACCTCAAAGCTCATTTGCATGAGACTCTCCTTATTGGTGGAGATTGATTATTCAGTGTTCTATGCTTGCGTGAGGCATGATGGGTGGAATTGGTGAGAGCTTGAGAAAAGATAAATACTAGCTTTCTCGAATTAAGTTTCAGGAGGGAAGATGTGTGGTTCCACACTCTCTTCTGCTCCCTCAAGGGACAGAGGGAGAGACTCTGGGAAGGTGCCAACGTGCAGAGGAGCCAGTACATTGATCATGTCCCTATCTCTAGCTTATTACTCTAGAGGCTTCAGGGAATTATCCCTTGGGTGAGATCTAAGACTTTGTTTTTTGGTTGAACTGAGTTATCTTACTCCCAATGGGAGAACTTAGTCACTCTGAATTGTCTGGTATATTCTCAAATGTAAACCTTCTCTTATTTCTATTTTACTGTCTACTTGAATAAATGGGTTTATTTGCTATTTGCTACATGTGTTCATTGCAGAAAGGGTTTTTCGTGGGAATCCTGTTGACTACTGGGATATATAACTTGAGGCATGCCTTTACTGTTAAGGGATAGTGATCATGAGCACAGCTTGAACCAAAAAATTATTTCCCCTAACTAACAATATTTAGAGGGAAAGACAGATATAATTCTAGTCTAGTGCCTTCTCTCTCTGAGGAGGGCAGAATGGTCAGCCTCTGGCCCCAACCTTTTGCTTCCCTTCCTGGCAGGAATCAAAGACTCTCTTGGAGAAAAGTAGGGGGAGGACACTTTAGGGATATTTATTCTTACCTCCCTTTGAGACCCATCCACTCAGACACATAGAGACACATATAAGCTACATAGGCAAAACATAACACAAAATATACACTTATATTTATATATGTACTTATTGTCATCTCTCTCCTCCTTCCCCTGTAGAGCATAAACTCTTTGCCAGGAGAGATTGTTTCATTCAATGCCAATAAATGCTGGTTGATTGATTAGTTGAGAAGAAGGACCATTGTGTTTGTGATATATCAAGGTTTTAGTTGCACATAGCTTAAAACCTAACAAATTGAAATGATAGCATAAAAATGTACATGAAGAATGTACCTGCAAAATGAGAGAATTTTTCCAAAGAAAATGTGATTCTTTTAATAAGCAAAATTTTAAAAAGTTTTTTTTTAAAAAAGTCTGTGACATCAAGAAGTCCCCTTTAATTACATATGTTTCTTTATAGAATTTGTTGTACAGTTATTTTCACTTGTGTCTGACTCTTTGTGACCTCATTCGGGGTCTTCTTAGCATAGATACAGAAGTAGTTTGTCATTTCCTTCTCCTGCTCATTTTATAGATAAGGAAACTGAGGTAAAAAGGGTTAAGTGACTTGCCCAGGATCACACAGCTAGTAAGTGTCTGAGGCCACATTTGAACTCAGAAAGATGAGTCTTCCTAACTCCAGGCTCAACACTCTATCCACTGTGCCACTTACCTGCCCTCTTTATAGAATGGTTAAGTGTAAAAAGTCTCTTTTAATAGGATAAACATTGGTGCTACCTCTAGCTATTGATATGGGCAAACAATGCTTGACAATTCCTATGCAAAGCAATTTCAAATGGTTCCATTTGCAGATGGTATGGTAGGAAGAAGAATTACCCATCTGTCTAAAGACCTTTGTAATCAATTAACTAAATTCTTCCTATTTCGCATGATAAGTAGATGAGGTAACTGATGTAGCTAAAGATGCACATTTTATAACATATATGGCATGTTGAAACATATAAGGAAACTTGTTATTCTGCAAATATTATATAAAAATACATTTACTATATTACTGATAGATTTTTAAAATAAAAATTATATAATGTGGGAGAAGTATATTAGATTCTCCACTGATAGAGAGCAATTGTTATCAGAATGAAACACAGGTCTAAAAGCACTAGTTAAAAATGTGGCCCTTTATGTAAATTAAACACATTGCCTTCTTCACAATCACTTATAATAAGAAATATGAATGAAGATTTATGTATGGCTTTAAAAATTGTCACAAGAGTAATCAACTTTATTAAAAATAGTTCATTAAAAGAAAAGTTCTTTCTAAAACTGTGTGACCATATAGGGGCAGGGCATAGGGCACTTTGATGTTATTGCCAATTTTCTTGGGCCAAAGTAATTTAAAGTGTGTAAGTTAAAAGATGAAATGGGTATTTTCTTCTTAGCTAGACTAATAAGATGAAACAAACTCAATTTACAACAAAAATTTCCTACTAAAATGTGTTTTGGGTAGATTTAAAAAGAAACTGCGTGCTTTAAATAAATTAATGCATTGTCCTTAAATTCACTTTCTAATCCAGGAGAATAAAGTAACTATTTTTAAAAGTTAGAGAAATGAATAATAAACTTATAACATCCTAATTTATTTCCTAATTTTAAAAATGCCCTACAAAGGAAAAAGAAGAAAATAAAGATCTGCTTGACTAGTCTACAGAAACAATTTTCATTTTATCTTAAAGACCTTGATATTTCTAAATGTGAATAGGCAAAGAACTCATTCATCATGAGTAAATATCTGGTCTTATTCGATTTTTACAAGAATAGTTAATAGACTCGTCTTGTGATAGTATGTTGAAATTAGCATTTGAACCTGAAAATCTTAGGTTATTTTGGCTTTGGGCAAATAAAAAATTCTCTGATTTGGCAAAGTAATACATGTTTTACTACCACTTATAACATTCTATTTGTGTAAAACAGTGTTTTCTGTGTTAGCTGTTATAAAGACGATATAGATTTTTATTAGAAATCAAAAATGAATTGCAAGTAGCAACATCATCAATGATATCACCTTTAAAAAATTTTTCACAGAAAAACAAGACTATCCATTACTTTGGGGTCTTTTTTGTACTGGTCTTGTGATTTCATCAGAGTAGAGAGCACAAAATGAGGCACTTTCTCTACCAACACAGACTCATATCTTATCTGTAACTTAAACTCTTATGGATTGTCTGAGGCACTAAGAGCTTAAGTGTCTGGGCCATACAATCAAGACCAGTCAGGGGTGGACTTGATTCTGAGACCAGCTTTCTATCTGTTGCTTCTCATATTCATTACATTAATAATATTATTATGATTATTTTGTATAAGTTATACACATGAAAATTACACATGATTTTATCAATAAATATCAGTGTTTTATTTTTTGTTGAAATATGAAAGAATACTGATACTTGGGTGGAATTCATGGGTACAAATACCATTTGTGACTCTTACTGTCTCCATGACCTTGGGGCAAATTCCCTGGTTTTCTATTGTCTTAACCTATAAAACAAGGGAGTGGTACTAGATGGCCTCTGATATCTCTTCCATCTCTAAATCTAAATCTAAATTCTATGATGTGTTGTTTAAAATAGTAATCAAATTTTAATTTTATTTTAATGAAAATAAGCTAAGAAAACTTTATATATAGATTCTTTTTTAAAATTTATTTTAGTTTTCAACATTCACTTCCACAAGATATTGAGTTCCAAATTTTCTCTCCATCTCATACCTCTCCCAATCCATCCCTACCCCTTCCTCTAATCTGCCCTCCCTTCTATCTCTCCCCCCTTTCTCTTATCCCCTTCCCCTTCTATTTTCCTGTAGGGCAGGACAGATTGCTATACCCCATTTCCTATATTTCTTATTTTATGGATTCTTTTATGAAAAGTGTAGGAGTATAATAATTTGTAAAAAAAAAAAAAAAAGGGGGGGAGGAAGGGGAGAAAGGGGAAGCATTACTTTATGTGGTTCGTAAATCACTGTCATTCAGCATCTTTTTGTAGGCCCATGCGCAACAAGACTGTGTTTGCTATGATAATGATGACCATATCCCCTTTTAACCAACCTATTTCATCAGTTACCTGAGCGAAAAACTCAAGGAATTGATTTTTATTTAATTAATTAATTATTAATTTTTAAAGACATTCTATGTCTAATTAACAGAGCTTGCCTGCCACTTTTTCTATGATCATGACAAATACACCCACACCTCATCAACAACTAAAGCAAAATTCACTAGCTTGCTCTTGATCAGCGCAAGACTTCTTATACAGCTTCAGGACCCCTACTCCCTGCCTCAAAGGAAAACCAGAAGAATTGAGGACCTGGTGTTTTCTAATACAGAGTTTTTATACAGTGCCAAGGGTACTGTTCAGGCTCCACAAAAGCACTAAATACTAACAACTATAATCCTGGAGGCTGAAATTAATGCTGAATACCCTATTTGGCTTTTATAAAAGGCTGGAGTCGAATGAACAGCACTGGGCAAAGTCACTACAACCATTTCTTTGCTTTTGCTGCCTGTTCTTCCTGGTCAGTTTGAAAGATGTGTACTGTACAAAAGGTATGGGCGCATAGCAGCCCTCACATAACAGGTGGAATTAAACATTGGTAAGAGCTTTACACTTGCCAGATTTATTTATCAGGCATTGGATTCAAAGGATTTCCCCACAGGATGTGTAGAGATTAGCGTGCAGGGAAAATGCTTTTTCAACAAATGCTACCACTAATCAGCTCTTCATTTCAGTAATTCTACCACTGCTGGGTCTGTCGCCATTGAAAGACTTGCTTGGCATTTCTGGTAAGAAAATCTTTTCTTTCAGGGACTTAGAACTTAATCATTTAAAAACAACTAATCAGGCTGAAATTTGAACAACAATTTTTTGTCACTCTGAATAACAGCCTCCATGTTATTAAAAAAAATTGAAGCCATTTTAATAATATATTTAATTAACCTGGCTCAGAGGAATAAAGGCTATGTCAATACAATCCCAAAGCCTCTGAAGGAAAAGTGGAAAATTTATTCAGTCACTCAGCTATTTTGTCCCACCTGAAGCCAATCCTTTGGATGATTTCCGAAAGTGCTCTCATGATCTTTAAAAAAAAATAAAAAAGAGGAAATTTTATTCATCATCTAATAAATAAAATAGTTATGACTATCTATTTTTAAGAACAAGTTAAATAAGGTAACAGAAGCCACTCCCAGCAAAGCTTTTATATAACTGCTCCCCTTGACTGTGTCTACACAATGCCAAAACATCTGGATGGAAAGTGAAAAATTCAGTTAATCATCTAGATGTTTTGTCCACATGATGCCAGACATCTGGATATTATATAAGAGATTCTTGGGGGAAAAAACCCCTTTTTGCCTTTTATGAGTTCATTCTTTAAAATATTCATTTAAAAGCACATCAATTTCTTTCAAAAGAGGTTTCACAGATTTTAAAATAAATCCCTTGCACAGTCTGTCCACTAAAAACTGTATAGCATCGTGGGGGGAGGGGAAGGAACAGCTAACATAAAAGCAGCAAATACGAAGTTAATCTGTGTCTTTCTTAGAGTCTGTAAAACTCAGTTCATCACAGGTGAAAATTTTTCTTACCACAGTAAGGAAAATACCAACATAAGCTAAACCATTCACATTTTTCAATGAGTTGCACTGTACAGCACTTTGAAAAGCATCATTCAAGTCTCCACAGCAATATGTGAACAATACTAAAAGCACAAGGTATTGGCAAGCTTACAGCCCAGTGGCTTTCAGCTGTGGACTCATATGAACAATACAGGTCCCATTCAAAACCCATACCAAATTTGTGGCTGAGTAATGCCAAAGGATTCCATTATCTCAAAAACTTTGAAGAGCAAGGTTATGGAGTCATTAGTTGGTAGGGCATCACGCTTTGAGAGCATTATAAATGGTATCTATATGCCATTTTCGTGCATATTATTTTAGTTACTCTGATTCCTCAAAGTATTATGTTGATGTAATTACCAGATAATTATTAGCATTTCCATCATCCCCTGGTCTTCAAGGACTTCTTCCCCTTAACTCTTCATAAAATTTAAATCTGGATTTTCTTTTCCAATTTTCTACCTTTCCTGAACTTGAACTTTCAATCCTGCCCAGGGCAAGAATTAAATTCCAGTATTTATCAATTAGTCAACATTTATTGATTCCTTACTATTCACAAGGTATTATTCCGGTGAGTAATACAGGGAAGTATGATACAGTCTTTTTCCTTAAGAAGGGAGATGACCCATTTGAAGTAAGACAGTGAAGTAATGATGTAAATTCTTAAATAAGGGATTTATTTTGGTCCAGACCTAAGATTCCATGGATAGCGCTTGGCCCAGAAACTCCCTTCACCAATACAGCTGAACAATTCCTCATTAATGTATAGTTTTAAAAGGTTGCCAGTGACACTAGGAAGTTAAGTGATTTTCCATTCTTAAACAAATAGTAGTCCTCTATCCATTATACCATACCATCTGTCTTTTGACAAGCATACACAATTTAACCACAAAAACAGGTATTGTCCTTCCAATCAGGTGTTTTTGAAAGTAATATACTCATTCTAGTTATGCTGTCACTGCTCAAAACTCTTGGAATTATCTTTAGACCCAGTTTACAAACCACCTAAGAAAATATCTGGCTGTCAACAGGATGCAAGAAGCAACAGATTTATGGTAGAGAAGAGACCTGTCCATAGATTGATTCTAGGAAGTAGCACCTGCCAATGGTGCAGGGTTGGGGGCGGGGAAGATAGTGAGAAAAAAGATATTTTGGGTATTTAAAGAAGCTGGTGTTATTGGAATAGCCATGGTCATTCTGTAGTGACAGAATAAAATGATGTACAAATATAAGACAAAAGAGAAAAAATGCCCAACACAAACAACTGTTATGGTTGTTCTTGGGAGCCCTGGATCCTGTGTTCTGCCTGTATTCCTGAGCAGGTTGCCAATGAAATGCCAGACAAATCTGTCTGAGGCCACAGAGGCAAGTAGCAGAGGGAATCAGCCAAGGGATGAAATAAGTGTCCTCTGTTGCTCCTGACTGAGGCTTTTTCCTGAGGGAATGCCTGCTCCAGAGGCCTTGGCCTTCTATATTCCCTACTTTGTATTCAGACCTCATTTTCTGACCCAAAACAGGATTTTCCTGGCTTGATCATCTACCTTCTTCACTAGACTTTACTTTAAATGACTTTTGATCGTCTCTAAAAATAAAATTTGCCCTCAAAGTACAAAAATTTGCCAACATTGTGGTTATTCAAAAGAATATGCCACAGGCTCTGAAAGCAATTCCAAGAGAACTGGAAATATTTTGAGCAATAGCAACTTCCAACATGAAAAGAAAACTTGATATAAAGTGGTTTAAGTGCTTACTGAATAAATGGTACAGATGACAAAGGCCACAGAAGTTTGTTGGAGGTGAGAACATTCTCAGCTGTGGTGGTCAGAAAGACTTCACAGAGGATATGGGATTTCAATCATACCTTAAAGAATGGGAAAATTTGGATGAGCAGAAAGAAAAGGTGGGGTCTTGGAAAGATAGGGAAAAGGAAAGGGGGATAAGAAAGGGATACAGAGTGTACTAGATCAGAGATATGGATGTAGAATGTTGTCTGGCTACTGTGTTAGAACCGTACGGGACCTTGAGACTACCAAGCTCAATCTCATTTTACAAATGAGGAAACTGAGACCTGGAGAGAGGAAATGATGTTCTCCACGTTATAGGCTACACAGCTGGAACTAGACCCCAGGACTTCAGATTCTCAGTCTGATGTGCTTTCCATTATACAATACTTTTAAAGGACAGTGAGTAGTACATTGCTCCAGTTTGACTGGAACAGAATTCATACAGGAGTTCAATGGAAGATCAGATAAGAATGGCATCTTGGAGCCCCATTTGGGATGGCCTTGGATGTCTGGAGCTTGTATTTTAAATTTGATTCAAAGAGTATTTTTACAGTGTTTACTATGTATGAGGCACTGTGCTAGACACTAAGGGAATAAAGGTAACATACACAGCTAGCTGTAATACAAGGAAAACGGTCATAAAAGCAAAGAAGAAATCTAAAGTAGTGTGAGAAATTTAAGGAGGATCTCTTTCAATTAGGCTGATAAAGGACATAGTATCTGAACTGGGCATTAAAGGAAGGGAACATTTCCAGTAAGCTGAGATAGGAGAGTTCCTATCCAGGCATGGCTGTAGGAAGTCTTTTAGGGTTTTCCTTGCACCCTCAAATAAGTATTTATGCTCATTTGCTGCATTCTTCTAGATGTTCTTTGAGGTAACCTCAAAGCTCTCAACTTTCCCAATGGTGGTGTAGCACCCTTAAAAAATTTTGTTAAAAGGGGCAAAAAAAAAAGCCAGAAGGGTCAAAGTGGAAAGGCAAGGTAGGTGAATAACAGCAAGAGAATAAAAAGAACAGTCATAAAGCAGCTAGTAGAAAAGCAAAGGAAGAGAAAACATAATCAAGTGAGCAGAGAGAATGACATACTCACCAATTCCTCAAAAATTAAATGAGGATGGCACACTGCCTGGAGTGGGATCAAATTAGGTCAGGCATGCTTATCTCTCTGTTCAAGGGAATTAAGGTTATCCTGGGACAGCTGCAAAGCAGCCACCACCATATCTCCCTCTCCCTATAAGCAGGTCAGGATTTCAGAGTGTGGGTGCACTGAAGGGCTGGCAGGCTAAAATGGTGGGTGATTCGAAATGCATACGGAGTGAAGGCCGAGTCTATGGTTAATGTCGCTCAAAGGGCAGCTTAGATGAATGCCAAGGAAAGGCAAGTAGGTGCTGAGATGAATGGTGGAGGTGGTTGGGTAGAGGGAAGCTGGTTTGAAAGAGCAGCTTCCATTTCAAATTTCTTTTTTGTTAAATAAATTAACTAGTGACTAAATAAATAAATGTGTGTATGGAGAGAGAGAGACTCTTGAAAAAAACATTTGATATTTGCAGAAACCATATATATTTTTTATATATTGAAAGATTCTTGAAAGAAACCTATTTGAAGAAACGATATATATTATATATTACACATTTATTTTTTATATACTGAAACAAAGGCTGTTGAAAGAAACTTATTTTGTGTTTGCAGAAACTATGTGTGTGCACATATATGTATGTGGTATTAGGTCAGTTTTACAGAAACTCTATATATGTGTGTATGTGTGTGTATACCTTCTGCAAACCTGACCTAATACCACATACATATGTACACATATATGGTTTCTGCAAACCTACTCTAATAATACACATATATGTACACATGGACACCTAATAAAAAAAAGTGGACATATAAAAAATCATATATAAACTACATATAAATAAATCAAACCCTCTCTATATACATACACACACATATATAGTTTCTGCAAACACCGAATAGGCTTATTACAAGAGCATATGTGTGTATACAGAAAGTATATATGGGTGCATATATACACACATGCAGTCCTGATCTAATAATCTCTCTCACACACACACACACACACACACGTATACAGTTTCCTCAAACACTAAACAGGATACAAGACTGTGTATATATATATATGCATATATACTATGTGTATACAAATATGTGTGTACATATATGTATCTAGTTCTTGCAAACTTGACCTAATTATACACACATACGTACACACACACATACAGATACAGAGTTTCTGCAAACACCAAATAGGTTAGGAGAGCAGGCCCCAAACAATGGCTCTCCTGAGTTCGTTTTTCAGAAAACCAAAAGGGGATGTTGCACCGAGCCCTGGAGTGCTGGTCTCCTTCAGGGTAACCTGCAGTATCCCGCCGGCCCGGGCTGCGCCTCCCGCTTCCCAGCGAATGCACGCTGATTATTCCATGTGTGTTAATTAAAACTTGCAGGAGGAGGAGATAAGCTCGCGCCGCGCGGCAGCGGCCCCACGCGGGCCCTGACTACGCGCAGCGCTGCGCTGCCATCTTGTGGCGGCCTGCAAGCACGGCGCCCTCCTCCTCAGCCAGGCCCAGACCTAAGGCGGGGTGGGGTTAGAGGGGGAGGGAAACCAGGATTACGAGTCCGGCTAATGTCCGGATTCCCCCATCCACTCCCTCGCTCCCTCCCTCCCCAGTCGATCTGGGCCGGCCCAGACACCCAGAAACTTGCCGAGCAGCAGCGGGGAACCAGCCCTCCGGCGCCCGGACCTGGGAGGCCCCCGCGCGCCGTCACGTGGGTTAGCAACAGGCAGTAGCCAATAGGAGCGGCCCGAGTCCGGAGGGCGGGGCGAAGCCGCTCGCTCCCACTGAGTGTGCTCGAGGACATTTTCCCTTAAGAGCCTTGGAGTGGAAACGTCTCTGCCAGTGCCGGGGCTTTTAATAGGAAGAGTCGAAAGAAAAGCCAGAAAAACTCGTGCTATTTTTCTGTCAGGCGCCGTTAAAAAAACTACTTGTGTAAAGGGGAGAGGCAGCTGCAAGGCCAAGAAGAGATTCTCTCTCTCCTCCCCCTGCCCCCCTTCACTTCTCTCCCCCCTCCCCCTCCTTTTCCCTCGCCTCCCTCCCCTCCCCCACCCCTCTCCCCCCTCCCTCTCTCTCTCTCTCCCTCTGTCTGTCTGTCTGTCTGTCTGTCTCTTTTTGTAAGAAGGAGTGGCTTGCACTCCCACGCTCTAAAGCAATGACCCAAGCCAACTTGGAGGGCAGTGGGCCGGCAGAAGAAGGCAGGCGAGGATGGGGAGGAAGAAAGCAAGCGGCGAGCCTGGGGCTAAACCAGGGAAGACAGGGAGGCAGCCTGTGCCCAAGCCCTTGATTAAGTGGTTTGGTTTCGAGCCTGTACCAGCCACTTGTCGCTCTGCCAAACCCCTGGGACTGGAGCTGCCAGTTGGATACACATAAGGGGATTAAAGGGGTAAAAAAAAAAGAATAATAAAGTTACTGGCAATGGTTGGATCCAGGTTGGCAATCTTTCCTACCCTGCAGCGGGCCCAGAACAGGCACCAAAGCTGGCTTTTCATGGCAAAGTTTAGGTCACTGCCGAAGAAAAGGAACAGATTGGCTCTTTGAAAAAAAAATTAATGGGTGGAGTTTGGTTGTTGATTTTAATTATTAAAAATGGAAAGGCTCCACCTAAAAAAAAGTAATTACTGGTGAACACTCCTTTCCTGTTAAAGCAGCATGTTTCAAAGGAGACTGGCTGTGAAAAGCCAGGTTGAAGTAGATTAGAGGCATATTTTAGTACAATTCTGTCCAGGACTTAAAAGGTATGGGTATGTTTGGAAGGACTCAGGATTTGGAGACTGAAAACCTGAGTATGAATCAGACTCCTTTCACTTACTATCTTACTTTGTATCCCCAGAGTTAAGCAAAATTTTGCCTGCCACATAGTAGGCATTAAGAAATGTTTCCTCAGTTATCAATGTGGTGGTGTTATTCAGTCGTGTTGGATTCTCTGTGACCCTGTTTGAGGTCTTGTTGGGAGAGATACTGGAGTGGTTTTCCATGTCCCTGTGCAGGTCATTTTAAAATGAGAGAATTGAGGCAAAGTGTTGAGTGACTCGCCCAGGATCACACAGCTAGTAAGTGTCTGAGGCCAGATTTGAACTCGGGAACACATTTCCTAAACCCAGGACCAACACCCTGTCAGCTGTGCCGGCTGAGCTATGTGACCATATTTAATTGACCTCTCTGAGCCTCAGGTTACCTTATCTGTAAAATAATGAATTGAACGTGATTACCAATAGGCATCTTTCAGCTCTAACTGATCTACTTATACAAATAAGTTGGTTTTATCACCCTTTGAAAACAGACAATTCATGGGGGCGGTACTTTAAGACTACACTGAAACTATCTTTTGAGAACACAAGATTTCCCCACACCACTTGAAGCATCAGAGTAAAATCTTCATCTCATTGTGTTAAATCAGCTTCATCAGTTCAAAATCTGGCAGATTCATTATCCATAAACAGAAATAGGGCAGAATCACCACATTTTTATCAGCTCCTTCCATAGTATATGTTGTGAAGAGGATATAGCTAATGTTTGTGAGCATTGGTTAACTAAACAATTAGTTGCCAAAGCGTGATGTTTTTTAGGACAAGTGCCATTGTGGCTGGACTGAGGTGCACCATGGGGTCATGGTAAACAGCCAAAAGCTATATTAAAACCAAGCTATTATACATTTAGTTCTCCCATCCAATCTGGAAAGCTCATCTTTCTTCCAGAGAAAGAAATAAGATTTTTTTTAATATAAAAGACAGCTTAGTTTAGTGGAAAGGCTAGTCAACTCTTCAGGGTTCCTTCCAACCCTACTGTTGAATGATAGCATTCATTATCCAAACTATGAATGATGATAGAAAGTTCAGGGTGAATTCCTGTAAAACAAAACTTCAACCTTCTTCCTTGGTCAGCTTTCAACTTTGGGCCAATTCTTGTAGAAATGTCCAAAGGTTCAGTCCTGGATCTGTCACTAACTATGTATTTGACCTTATGCAGGTTGTCTCACCTCCTTGGGCCTCCCTTTCCTTTTTTAGAAAATAAATCGGTTTAACTAAACAAGGAAAATAAATTCTCTTCTACCTCTAAAAGGACATTACTTGTTCTTTACTAAGCCAAGTATGCCCTGTGGGGTCATCTAGATCAGGGTGGGGAACCTGATCTAGATTGTTTAAAACCTAATCATATTGGGTATCTAAGTTATGTTGGTAAATCTGCAACGTCCCTAACTTGTGCTTTTTATTGTTTAGTAGTCGTAGGCATACATATACCTATTTCCAGATGCCACTTATCCCAAATAACCACATTTAGCACTGTCATTCATCTTAACTACACTGCATTCCCCAATTCTCTTCTTTATTTCCCAGACCTCCACAGGTCTCACCTCTCTGATGCACCGTTGACTGACTTCTTTTAAGTAAATCAAGTAAAAACTAAACAGAAAAAAAAAACTCTAAAGAAGAAGTGAAAATACATATCACAACCCTGGCATATTTTCCTAGAATGATCTAAAACACTGTAGTTCAGACATACAACAGTGATTGTACCCTAGGTTCGTCATCCAACTGAAGGTGCTGTTCTTTACACTTAGGGTGTTCTGTTGTCATTAAGAACTATAGTAGCCAACATCAGCAGCAGAAAATACAAATAACCCCAGCATTGGTGAAAGTGTTTAAAGGAAAACTTTGAAGAAAGGGGCAGGGAAAGAATGTCCAATGAGAGGTCACAATGACCAATCTAAGGGATAAAGTGAGGGCAGTATAATTCAATGTAATTAATTCATTGTACCTTCTTGGGGGAAAGACAACAGGACACACCCAAAGAAGAGAACCTATTCAAGGTGTGGACACAAGAATAAATAGCTCAGTTCTTCATGACTGGTTACCAGTTAACTTTATGGGTCACTAAGGGCCTGGAAGACAGTATAAAAAGGAGAAAGGGCACCCCAAGTAGCTTTGTTTTGGAAATATCTGTGACCAGTTGCAGCTGGAACAGAGATGTATGGACTGCAGTAAAATTTGATGGGCTTAGTACTTGTCAGTTAAGGCTGGAATAGGAAGTAAGCTTCAAACCTAAATAATTGGCAAGAAGCTGTGCTTAAAAGTAAAAGCATAGGGGATTTTATTCCAAGTGGTAAACAATATAGTGTCCTACTGACACATTATCTGCCTCCTTCATGGCCTCTAATCTGGTGAGCAATCTGCAGTCAGGTCTTCTGTGATAACCCTAAAGTCCCAGCAAGTTAGAAAGGCTTACATTTCATTGAGCTATTGCTGTCACCATTTAATCTGATTGGTTTTCCTTTCCACAATTGCAGGGACTGTAAGTAATATGAGGTAAAAAAAAATGCAGCCAGTGATTTTTATCTCTCACTGAGTCAGCTTCTTAGGTGATAGCATGACTGAGTTGTGTTGAGTTCTGCCTGGAGGTCACCCCTACCTTTAATTTGTTTCAGTTAGTCAACAAGTATTTATTGAGTACCTACTGTATATATACACCAAGTTATGTAAGAACAGATCATACGAAGTTACAGTTAATGAAGCTGAAATAAATAGGTAAAGATTTGGACATGCTAAGTAAAAAAAATTACATGTGGCCTTTATACATTTTTTCCTGCATTTCATATCTAATTTCCAATACAATATAATACCCAAGATTGGGAATCAGGAGACAAGAGTTCTAGTCTAAGCTCTGAAACAAATTAGCTATGGGACATTTAACAAGTCATTTCAATTATGTAGTTGCTTCTAGCTCTAATATGCTATGATTATATCTCATTCTATCTTTAAAAGGTGATCCAGTTTCTATATTCACATCAATCGACAAGCATTTATTAAGTGCCTACTATGTGTCAAGCACCATGTTAGATGCTGGAAACAAAAATGAAACAATTCCTATTCTCATGGGGCTTACATTCTATTAGGGGAAAATATGCATATGTAAGTATAAAAAAAGATATATTCAAAGTAACTACAAGATAATTTGAGTGAAGGCACTAGCAAATGGGGAAATCAGGAAAGACTCCTGGAGTAGGAAGAGGAGGCACTTAAACTAACTTTTGAAGGAAACTAGAAATTCTAAGATGTGAAAAGAGAGTAAATTCTAGGCATGGAGGCAGCCTGTGTAAAATTGTGGCAAATGAAGATGGAGTATTGTATGTGAGGAACTGCAAGAAGGACTAAAGAATACGTAAAGGACAGTAATGTAGAGTAAGCCTGGAATAGTAGGTTTTGACCAGTTTGTGAAGGGTTTTCAATGCCAAATAAAGTAGTTTATGTTGCGTCCTACAAGTAATAGGCAGTCACGTGAGTTTATTGAACAGAAGAGTGATATGATCAGATCTGTGCTTTAAGAATATTACTTTGGGGGCAGCTAGGCGGCACAGTAGATAGAGCACCGACCCTCGATTCAGGAGGACCTGAGTTCAAATCTGGCTTCAGACATGTAACACTTACTAGCTGTGTGACTCTGGGCAAGTCACTTAACCCCATTGCCTAGCAAAAAAAAAAAAAAAAGAGAGAGAGAGAATATTACTTTGGCAGTTCTAGAGGGTAACATAGCTAGGTGGCACAGTGAATAGAGTGCTTGGCCTGAAGTCAGGAAGACTCATCTTCCTAATTTCAAATACAGCCTAAGATACTTACTAGCTATGTGACCCTGGGCAAGTCACTTAACCTTGTTTGCCTCAGTTCCTTATCAGTAAATTGAACTAGAGAAGGAAGTCAGAAGTGCAGAAAAAAGTTAAAAAACAAGAGTTACTCCAGTTCTGATTACTAAACATAAATGGAATACTCATGAAAGATATACTGAAGCTATGGTAATAATCCTGAAGGAATCATCTGACTATTGAATTAATCTTAGGTGAATTTATAGGAGCAGTGCAAGGAATAGGAGAAGCAGTCTCACAAAGCTGGTTGCAGAGCTTATTATAAGATTCCATTATTTTCCATTCCTGGCAGGAAAGGGTGTGTGGTGGAAAAGGAAAGAGGAGTGTCCACCTGGCTGACCAATTTATCTGGATCAAAGAGTATATAAAGGGCTGTAATGTATAGTATGTAGTAAACTATGTACCACAGTATATAGTAATCCTGGAAGAGTAAGTTTTGGCCAGATTGTGAAGGGTTTAAAATGCCAAAGAAGTTTGAGCTAAGCACAATGCCTGGCACATAGTAGGCACTTAATAAATGTTGATTGGTTTGGATTGGTCCTAAAGGTAATGGGGAGTCACTAGAGTGACATGGTCAGATCATTACTTTAGGAATATCATTTTGGCAATAGTATGGGATGTCAGCCGTGAATTAGCATGTAAACATACTATATCCAATCCAATAACTTTTTCAGTATTCATCATCTGAGTTCTGCAACCTTTAACACTGTGGGCCACTTCTCTTTAAGAAACACTATTCTCTTCTGTTCTCCTGTCTTTACTGGCTTCTCTTCTGTCTCCACAATCAATCCAGTCTAACCTCATTCTCTCGTTTAATTCTAGGCTCAAATCATTGTCCATTTATAATGTCTATC